AGAATAGAATAGAATAGAATAGAATAGAATAGAATAGAATAGAATAGAATAGAATAGAATAGAATAGAATAGAATAGAATAATAACTTTATTGTCACTTTGAATGTGCACTAATTGGCATCCATTAAAAATGAAATTTTAATTTTAATTGCATACGGCTCTCAAAGGGTCACCAATACGCTTCTTGCCCTCCGGTTCCTGTCACTCCTTCCCTCCAGCCCACGGCTGAAGGTGCAGGGCAAGAGGGAGCCAGAGAGACCCCTTGGGCTTAAAGGCCCCTCGCCCATTTCTCCACCCATTGTTGAGGACAGCTGACCTCCATGACCCAGGACCACAATAGCCGGACATTCCCTTCCCATAAGAATCCGGGAGGGATCAAAGGAAGCCACCGAGTTGACCTCTGCTGGCAAAAATAAACTTGTCCTAACCCGAAGAGGATCTGGTAATCCCTGTTGGCAAAACGATTGAACGGGGAAGGAAGCTCGGGGAGAGCACGTTTCAAGTCGCTTGTTTTCTTTCTGTCTTTTGATTTATCTCGCTATAGGAACTTGGGAGAACACTCCGTTCTCCAGCAGTTTCCCACAACGACAAGCCCTCTGAGATGGAAGAACTGGGTTAGTCCGGGATCGGAACGGGTCAACTTGCCATGGCCAATTCATCACCGGTCAAATCGCTGCAGGCCACTTGAACAATTGACTTTCCAAAGTCTCAACCTCTTTTTTTATAATGCGGGGACCAAAAGTGGGTGCAGTATTCCAGGTGTGGCCTTACGAAGACTTTATCAAGCAGTACTAATACTTGACATGATTTTGATTCCGTGTCTCTGTTTAGACGATACCAGACCTCCGGACTTTTCGTCGGGCCCTGAAAACACATCTGTTTCATCTAGCCGGGCTGGCTTGATCCCATCCTTTCAGTTTTAATTTGAAATTGGTTTTAACTGGGTTGTTTTAAATTGAGGGCCAAAATTATTTAATGTCTTTGACTTACGACCATTCATTTAGTGACCATTCAAAGTTACAACTTACTTTTGCACTGAAAAAAAAGGTGACTTATGATTGTTTTTTTACACTTTGGGCCATTGCAGTGTCCCCGTGGTCACGTGAGGTTTGGTAACTGACTCGTATTTATGACAGTCACAGTGTCATGTGTTGCTAAGTGAACAGCTGCAGTGATTCACTTAACAACTGTGGCAAGAAAGGTCATAAAACAGGTCAAAAGCCAAGTAAGAACTGTCTCACTTAGCAATGGAAATTTTGGCCTCTATGGGGGCGTCGTAAGTTGAGAACTACCCATATGTGTGAAAGCTTTGTTTGACTAAATTCAGGATGGGCAGCGTGGAGATCAGTACCAATGACCTCATTCGGTTATAATTCATAGCAAATTAAAAATTGGAATTTAAGAGGTGTAAAGGGTGAAGGGTGTGAAGGAAAAACAAATGAAAGCAGATAAGAAAAGCTGAAAGGTAGTGACAGGACTAAAAGAATGTAATCAGTCAATAAATGAAGTGGCCTGACCTTGTGGGGCAGAACTGATGAATGCCTGCAGGGAGGCAGAGCTGTAGATACCTGTTAGGAATGACAGAGCTAAAATGTATGTTGGAAAATAGGAATTGTATTCTAGGTAGGTACTGTAGGTATGAACTAAGGAACTGTGGGGTCCTTGTTGCTCTCTGAGCAGGTTGTTTTCTTGCAGATATTTCGTGATCCAACTAGGTAACATCTTCAGGGGTAGAAAGGAGGGAGGTTTGTGGAGAGGAGGAGGACAAGGAGGAGGAGGAGGAGGAGGGAGGGGAGGGAAGGAGGGGGAGAACTATGTAGTCCTTGTTACTCTCTGAACCTGGTTGTTTACTTGCAGACATTTCATGACCCAACTAGGTAACATCTTCAGGGATAGAAAGGAGAGAGGTTTGCAGAGTGGAGAAGAAGGTGAAGGACAGGAGTGTCAAAGCATGAATCAGCCTCGTTCCCCCCCTTGGGGAAACTGTAATTAATTGGTGGTGAATGGATCTTGTTTTCCATGGTGTATACTTTCAAAGAAAGAAAACCCGAATGTATTCTAAGAAACATTTTATTATAAAAGTACAAAACTAGCTAACTACATCTTACCGGCAGTCTTATCACACAGACATAAATCAGGAAGTTGGAAAAGAAAGAACGTAGATATGTGCAGTAGCTCAGAAATCACAAGACAATCTTATCTCAGTTGCTACAGATAAGTTCTCTGGCAAGCTACCGTAAGTCTTAGGATGGAAGCTCAGCTGGCAAACACTTAACGCAGTGACAAGGAGGAGGAGGAGGAGGAGGGAGGGAGGAGGAAGGAGGAAGAGGAGGAGGGAAGGAGGAGGAAGGAGGAGGAGGAGGAGGAGTAGAAGGGAGGGAGGGAGGGAGGGAGGAGGGGGAGGACTTCATACTCTCTGAACCTGGTTGTTTTCTTGCAGACATTTCATGATCAAATTAGATAACATCTTCAGGGGTAGAAAGGAGGGAGGTTTGTGGAGAGGAGGAGGACAAGGAGGAGGAGGAGGGAGGGAGGGAGGGAGGAGGGGGAGGACTATGTACTCCTTGTTACTCTCTGAACCTGGTTGTTTACTTGCAGACATTTCGTGACTCAACTAGGTAACATCTTCAGGGGTAGAAAGGAGTGAGGTTTGCAGAGTGGAGAAGAAGGTGAAGGGAGAGAGGAGGAGGAGGAGGACTGTGGGGTCCGTAATGATCTTTGAGCTTGCCTGTTTTCTTGCAGACATTTCATGACCCAACTAGGTAACATCTTCACTACGAGAAGGAAGTGGGGTTTCCTCTCTGTTTATATACAAGCGGCTTCCCTGGTCAGGAAGTTTATATACAAGTATTTTACCCTCCCACATCTGGAGGGTATCCATTTTGACCAATAGAAGAGAATGTTTGAACTGTGGGGTCCTTGGTGCTCTCTGACCTTGGTACTTTTCTAGCAGATATTTTATGACCCAACTAGGTAACATCATCAGTACTAGCTGCCCTGAGTCTCCGGAGAAAGGCGGCATATAAATTGAACTAATAAATAATAAAATAGAAGGGAGGGGGGCAGGAGGAGGAGGAGGAGGAGGAGGAGGAGGAGGAGGAGGAGGAGGAGGACTGTGGGATATTTAGTGCTCTTCAAGCTTGGTCATTTTCTTGCAGATGTTTCATGACCCAACTACCTAATGCCATCAGTGCTGGAAGGAAATGAAATTTGCTTCTGCTTATATAGAAACTGTCATTGTTGGCGAGAATGGCCTTGATAGTTCCTTTATTGGGGTGCAATTTACTTCTTGATTGTTGGTTTAGAATGAATCTTAGTGTTCATTTGTGCTTATCTGGGTGTTGTTTGCTGGTGAGAAAGTGTTTTGGTCTTTTAGCTTTTTTTGATTGACTCTTTCCAATGGTATGTAGATGTTGCTTATCTCAATTTGCCTGTCAATGGCCAATTTGTCAGAGTGCCAGGCTTCCAGGAATCCTCTGGCATGCTTCGACTTGGCTAGGTCTAGGATGTTCATAGTTTCCTAGTTGAAACTATGGGGAAGTCTGTCCTTGTGTTGTGAAATTAAAGAGGTTTCATCATGTCTTCTGACTGGTAGCTGGTGTTCATGGATGTGTTTTTATTTCTACCCAGAGAAAAGGTTGATTCCCTTCGCAGGTCAAGTATATTGTGGAAACACAGCCAGTGTTGAGTCAGAAGTAGGAAAAAGCAAAGCCAGTCACCGACCTGTTGAGTTGCAAAGTGGTGCTTAATAAATGGAGTCCTTGTTGCTCACTGAGCTTGGTGGTTTTCCTGCAGACCTTTCATTATCAAACTAGATAGCTAGAGTAGTGTACTGATAAAGTTACCTAGTTGGGTAATGAAAGGTCTGCAGGAAAAAAAAAAACATTAAGGGCCCCATAGTCATCGTTGTCTTTCTCCTCTGTATTCGTATTATTAGTATTATTATCTCTTCCTCTTCTTCTTCGTCTTCCTCTCCTCCTCTTCCTCCATATTCGTATTATTATTATCTCTTCTTCTTCTACTTTTCCTCCTCCTCCTCCTCCTCCTCCTCCTTCTTCTTCTTCTTCATTTATTTATTTCTTTATTTATTGGTTTGATTTATATGCCGCCCTTTTCCGGAGACTCAGGGCAGCTTACAATGCATTAAGCAATAGCCTTCATACTTTTGTATATACCTGCTTTGTAGGGCTTTCGGGCCCCCCTAAGCGGTGTTTTTTTTTATACAAAGTCAGTTTATTGCCCCCACAAACCGGGTCCTCATTTTACCTACCTCGAAAGGATGGAAGGCTGAGTGAGCCTGGTGAGATTTGAACTTGCAGTAACTGCAGGCAGCTGGTGTTACTTAACAGTGCTTTAGTCTGCTGTGCTACCAAGGCTCTCTTCTTCTTCTTCTTCTTCTTCTTCTTCTTCTTCTTCTTCTTCTTCTCTTCTTCTTCTTCTTCTTCTTCTTTCTTCTTCTTCCCCTTCCCCTTCCCCTTCCCCTTCTCCTTCTCTTTCTTCTCCACAAACCCCACTTCCTTCTAGCACTGATGATATTACGTAGCTTGGTCATGAAATGTTTCCAAGAAAACCCCAAGCTCACAAAAATAGAAATACAAAGGATTCCATTTAATTCGTTCGTATCAAAGTGGCAATTTCAATGCCAGCCTATTTATTACAGACCAGTTTACAAATACTGCAGAACAATAACAGCAATTATACAAGAGATGTATTAATTTCATTTTTTAAAAAAAAATAATACTTGGAAATACAGTACAAATGTTAAACATTACAGATTGTTCAGGAAATCCATAATTTAAGGAAGCTGGCATCACATTGACAATATAAAGGTTTGTCTGTCTCTGTATGTGTTTTACCTAACTTCAGTGAAAGTGCTTTTTTTTTTTTTTTTGAAAGGATGGGTCCAGATAAATTTTTACTGATTTCATTTGTATTCTGCCTTTATTATTTTTACAAACAATTCAAGTTAGCGAATATATCTAATACTCCTTCCTCCTCCTACTTTCCCCACCACAACCCTGTGAGGTGGCTTGGGCTGAAACAGAATGACTGGCCCAAGGGCACTCAATCAGCTTCTGTATCTAAAGTGGAAACTAGAACTCACCGTCTCCTGGTGATTGACCCAAAGTCACCCACTCAAATTTCATGCTTAATGGACTAGAACTAGCTGGTGATTGGTCCTAGTCACCCAGCTGGCTTTCATTAAGGCCGGACTAGAACTCCCCATCTCCTGGTTTCCTGGTGCCTTCACCTCTAGACTAAACTGGCTCTTAAATAACTGGAGGTATTGCATGATATTAGTAATCTATGCTTTCTTTCTTCCAGCTCTACCCTAGGCATTAAAAATAGCCTAGTGTATGTAAGAGACTGGGCCAAAATTCAACACTCAATCCTGCCACACTAGGATCTGCTTAAAACCTCAACCCTTTGGGTGTGAAGGACACATGGTTGCAGTAACCCCACTTAAGAGCTTTTCATAAATGCATGTTTAAAACAATGAAGAAATACAAGTTAAAGCAAGCATTAAATGTACGCAGTGGTTTTTCAGAAAGCAACAGACGTAAATAATTGGGATGAAGGTTATTTGTCTGCAATAATCTAGACAAATTACTAGTTGGTCTAGGAAGACAGAATGTGACCCAACTTTTTCGACAATGTTTGGCTTAAGGTCGATCACATTTTCCTCTTGGCTGGATTTTTCCCTGTCTATCCATACTCCTGAATTCAATTAATATGGTCAGAGGTTTCCTTTTCTTGCAACGAACGAAGAGAGAAAAGTTGGCCAGATTTAGATCTTCACCCTGGTTTGCCTCCAGAAGTTGTGATGGCTCCATCAATGGAGGTTTTCAACAAGATATTGGATAACCATTTTTTTCTGGAATGGTGTAGGGTTTCCTGCTTGAGCAAGGGGTTGGACTAGAAGACCTCCAAGGTCCCTTCCACCTCTCTTATTCTGTAACGTTGGCTTTCACCCAAAATGTCTTGCAGAAAATCCAGCCTATAAATGAGAGGATTGGGACTATCCAGCTGTGCACCACAGCTGCAATAGCTTTTCCCCCCATCCTTCTCTCAAACCGTGGCCCCAAATTTATTTACAACGATGAATCCATACCCTCCAAATCCATCTCATGCCAAAAGAAGAAGAAGCAACAGACAGGACCCAAGCAGCAAACCTGTTGTTAGTGAAAGGGGAGCCCCAGGTAGGCAAAACATCCCACCTGGGAGCAGAACAATGGGACAGGTGGTCCTTCAAAACAAGCCAAGTTAGATCATAATCCCCCAACAAGATATGCATATGCACAGGCAGTTTCCTCCATCTGGTGACCTCCAGATCTGTTGGCACTGTAATTCTCATTCTTCCCAACCAACATGGTCAAAGAGGAAACTGGGAATTCTAGTTCCAAAACATCTGGAGGGAACTTGATGGGAGAAAACTACCTTACTAGGAACATCAACATGTGTATTCACAGGCAAATTCCCTTCACCTGGTAACCTCCAGATCTGCAATTCCCATTCTCCCCAGCCAACATGATCAAGAAAGGAACCTGGGAATTCTAGTTCCAGAAAGAACTTGATGGGAGAAAGCTGCCTTAGGAAATGTAGACATGGACATTCCATGCAGTTCCCTCCATCTGGTGGCCTCCAGATTTGGTGGGCCTCCAATTCCCATCATCCCCAACCAGCATGTTGAAAGAGGAACCTGGGAATTCTAGTTCCAAAACATCTGGAGGGAACCTGATGGGAGAAAGCTGCCTTAACAAAAAAAGAAAACAACCCCATCAAGAGTAGACAAAGAAGTAAGTGTGACGAAGACTTCAAAATCCTGTTGTGTGAACATTTTTCTTTCTTCTTCGGTTTTTTTTTTTCAATTTTTTATCTTTTTTCTTTAAAAAAAATTGTCCAGGGGGCAAGTGCGTAGCTTCAGACATTGTCCCTCTGCTTCACATTGGACAGCTTGACGCTCTCCTCATCGCTGGATTCGGGAGGTGGTTCATCATGGCATCCTATCATCAGCTGGTAGACCAACACCTGCGATGGCACCCAAGAAGGGGGCAACGATAGGAATCCACCACCAGTGTCCAGCAGCCCTGTAAGATACAAGAAAGAAGGAACGGTGAGATGAAATGCAGTTGGCTGAGTCAAGAGGAGAGAATATTGCTAGCTCAGGGTGACTTGTAAGATCCTGGGTAATCTCTGAGCTGGGTGGTTTTCTTGCAGATGTTGCATGACCCAAATATGTAACATCATCAGGGCTAGAAGGGAGTGAGTTTTGTGGAGAGGAGGAGGGGGGAGGAGGAGGAGGAAAACTGGGGGGTCCTTGGTGCTCTCTGAGCTTGGTTGTTCATTTAGAGACATTTCATGACCAAACATGGTAACATCATCAGTGCTAGAAGGGAGTAGGGTTTGTGGAAAGAAGGAGGAGGAGGAGGAGGAGAGGAGAAGGAGGAGGAGGAGGAGGAGGAGGAGGAGGAGGAGGAGGAGGAGGAGGAGGAGGAGGAGGAGGAGGAGGAGGAGGAGGAAAACTGGGGGGTCCTTGGTGCTCTCTGAGCTTGGTTGTGCATGTATAGACATTTCATGACCGAACATGGTAACATCATCAGTGCTAGAAGGGAGTAGGGTTTGTGGAAAGAGGAGAGGAGGGGAGGAGGAGGAGGAGGAGGAGGAGGAGGAGGAGGAGGAGGAGGAGGAGGAGGAGGAGGAGGAGGAGGACTGTGAGGTCCTTGGTGCTCTCGAGCTTGGTTGTTTTCTTGCAGACATTTCACGACCCAACTAGGTCACATCATCAGTGCTACCAGTATCAGTAGTACTACTCTCAGGAGCACTGAAGATGTGACCTAGTTGGGTCGTGAAATGTCTACAAACCAATCACCAAGCTCAGAGAGCACCAAGGGACCCACAGTTTCCCTCCCCTTTCTCCTCCTCCTCATATAACCACGGCAGGTTAGAGAGCACCAAGGAATTCACAGTTTTGTCTCCTCTCCTCCGAACTCCCTCAATGGCTTAATTTCTCTTCATGCTTTTTAAGATCATAGGGGATCAACTTTCCCTTTTTTTTTTCTCGTGTCTTTGGACCATCTCCTCTTTCCACCGAACTGTACAAGTAAAATTGAATTTTAGGATCCCTGCCTAATAAACTTTTGGCTGGGATCCAGCAAAACTGAACGATCTATGATTCATTGGGCGATCATTATCAATGGAATTGTTCCTTGACTCCACACCCAGTTCCATACCCCATCTCACTGACTGTGCCTTCTAGAAATTTTCCTTGGCACCAAGCATCAATCTATCGATGTCAATCAATCAGAATAGAATTGGGGGGGAACCTTGGAGGTCTTCTAGTCCAACCCCCTGCTCAGGCAGGAGACCCTATGCCATTTCAGACAAAGGGCTGTCCAGTCTCTTCTTAAAAACTTCCTCCAGTGATGGAGCACCCACAACCTCTGGACTACAAGTTGTTCCACTAATTAATTGTTAATTGTCAGGAAAGTTCTCCTTAGTTCTAGGTTGCTTCTCTCCTTGGGTAGTTTCCATCCATTGTTTCTTGTCCTGCCTTCAGGTGCTTTGGAGAATAGAATAGAGTAGAGTAGAGTAGAGTAGAGTAGAGTAGAGTAGAGTAGAGTAGAGTAGAGTAGAGTAGAAATATGGAAAGAATAGAATAGAATAGAATAGAATAGAATAGAATAGAATAGAATAGAATAGAGTAGAGTAGAATAGAATAGAATAGAATAGAATTATGGAATAGAGTAGAGTAGAGTAGAGTAGAGTAGAGTAGAGTAGAGTAGAGTAGAGTAGAGTAGAGTAGAGTAGAGTAGAGTAGAATAGAATAGAGTAGAAATATGGAAAGAATAGAATAGAATAGAATAGAATAGAATAGAATAGAATAGAATAGAATAGAAATTATGGAATAGAGTAGAGTAGAGTAGAGTAGAGTAGAATAGAATAGAATAGAACAGAATAGAACAGAATAGAATAGAATAGAACAGAATAGAATAGAATAGAATAGGATAGGATAGGATAGGAATTGGAAGGGAGCTTGGAGGTCTTCTAGTCCAACCCCCAGCTTAGGCAGGAAACCCTATACCATATAAGACAAATGGTTATCCAATCTCTTCTTGAAAGCCTCCAGTGATGGAGCATTTACAACTTCTGGTGGCAAGCTGTTCCACTGGTTAATTGTCCTCACTGTTAGGAAGTTTCTCCTTCATTCCAGGTTGCTTCTCTCTTTCACGAGTTTCCATCCATTATTTCTTGTCAAATTCTGAGAATAATTTGTCCCTCCTCTTCTTCTTTGTGGCAGCCCCTCAAATCCTGAAACCCTGCTATCATGTCACCCCCTAGTCCTTCTATTCATTAGACTAGCCAAACCCAACCCCTGCAACCATTCTTCACATCTTTTAATGAAGAAGAGAAGAGTTGAAAGGGAACTTTCAACTTTGGAAGTCTTCTTATCCAACCCCCACTCGAAGTTCGGTCACAGAGACAAAAGCCACTTACGTGAAAACTTCGGTACCCCAGCCAGCAATGGCGGTGAAGAGACGGGGCCCAAAGTCTCGGGCTGGGTTGACGGCGTAACCAGAATTGAAGCCCATGGAGGTCCCAATGACCAGGATGACGAAGCCAACTGTGAAGGCCTCCAAACCTCTCGGCACAGGGTTGTTGTACGGATCCACAATGGCCAGCACGCAAACGATCAGCGCCGCGGTGCCGATGAACTGAGAAGAAAGAAGATTCAAAGGTGTGTTCCTCAAAGAAATAGGAAGGGATTCTGAGAGTGTCTTCACAACTCCCGTGAGCGTCTTGACAATGACAAAAGCGGTTTGCCATTCCCTTTCCGGGTGGGGGGTGGTGTGGGGGCATTGTTTTTGACTTCCCTGTCTAGTCTGCAGCCCTGGAATTTTGCCTCAAAATGCTAAAAAGACTTAACTGGGCTTAACTTCTCATCCTGGGGAGCTACTGTTGAGATATGCAGTCCCAGAATCAAAGGATTGGAAGGGACCTTGGAGGTCTTCTAGTCCAACCTACTGGCAGGTGATCTTATACCACACAGTTAGGCCCTCTGCAGAATGATCTGTCCCCAACCTGCCTTTTAGGAGTCCCGTCTATCACCATCCATCCACCATGATGCTGTTGTGGCTCCGTTACCTGAGCCTGTGTCATTGGCAGGAGAGGACTCCGAGAGTGAAGGAGAGGAGTTGGCAAGGCCTCCCTCTCCAGGACCCTCCTCTCTGGCAATGCCTTCGGTGCCCGCCGAAGGGCAAGAGATAGGGGTGGAGGCCAAGCACGTCCACGCAGCCACAGGTGGACAGTAATGAGGGAGATGAGTCTTGGCTGGATCCTCGGCAGCGTCGCAGAGATAAGCGCGCGCAACAGAAGAAAGGCGTGCCAGAGATTAAGCTGAGTCACTGGGCCACACCCCACAGGGTATAAAAGGGGGTGAGGTGGCCATTCAGACTCTGTGATGGACAAAACTAACTACTATCGAGTCACATTGCATCTTTGGAAACAACATTATCTGCCTTGGATTTATTTTACGAACTGGACAATTCTTGAACTGTGTGTATTTTGTTTATGAGTAAAGTTCTTGGCAAGCAGCTACTGGGTTTCTGCCAAGCTTCTTATCGGAAGAATTGGTTGTCTGCCAGTTTATTTAACCCCTGTCTGTCTGTTTGTGTGCGTATGTGAGACGGGGACAGAACAGATGCTATTTGCCTTCTTCTTCTCTTACGTTCCACCTTTCCCAATATTATGGTCATCTCAGGAGGCTTAACAGAATAACAAGAGTTGGGAGGGACCTTGGAGGTCTTCTAGTCCAACCCTCTGCTCAGGCAGGAAACCCTATACCTGTGATGGCACGTGCCAGAGATGGCACTGCAGCGCCCTTTCTGTGGGCACATGAGCCGTCACCCCAGTTCAGCTCTGCCGTGCATATGCGCATGCCTCTGCTGGCCAGCTGGTCTTTGGGTCTCTGCAGCACATGCACAGGGGGTGAGGCGTGTGCAGGGAGCCCGTGCATGCATGTACGGGGGGTCAAGGCGCACGTGAGAGTGCTCATGCATGCTTTCGACCCTCAGCCCATCACTGCCCTATACCATTCCAGACAAATGGTTATCCAGTTTCTTCTTAAAAACCAAGTGACAAGTTGTTCCACAGATCAATTGTTCTAATCGTCAAGAAATTTCTCCTTAGTTCCATGTTGGTTCTCTTCTGATGAGTTTAGAATAGGTTGACCCATTCTTCTTTGTGTCAACCCCATAGATGTTGGGACTCCCCTATCATGTCACCCTTAGTTCTTCTTTTCATTAAACTAAGCTTTGCTTAATGTGCCCCAAATATCGTCTTGTTGAGCCTGGACATTTGTGCCTTACCTGGTCAAAAAATCCGTTGACGGAATTCAAGTGTTCTGATGGATACGTGGCAAAGATGCCCGCCGTCCCATTGGTGCCCACTACGAAGAGTTGGTTTTCACCAAATGCCCAGATAGCATCTAGAAAATAGGATCAAAACAGAGAATTGAAGGAAGCCACCCAGAATTCTTTTCACCAATCACCCCAAAAGAAGCTTCTTCAATGCCCCCTTTTTATGACCTTTTTGAGGGCTGGATGCAACGAAATTTCATTTTAATGTATGCCGATTAGTGTACATTTACAGAGACAATAAAGTTATTCGAAAAGTCTTTTTGCAAGTATCATGTGTGCAACACAGGTAAAAATGAGACAGATCCTTGATCGTGCAGTTGTGGTCCTCTTCTGATCCTTTTTGACTATCAGACACCCCTGGGCAGAGAATACCCAGGAAGGTACGGTAATTCAGCTTTTTTTACTGTTCCTATCACAATGAGGAGTTTTGAACCTTGCCTTGCTAAACAAACATGTCCTTTGATGTCCACCAAGATCAGTCTATTATAAAGCTGATAGTTCCGTGAGACTTCATTAGTCTGCAATTAACAGCTTAATTGGTCCGCAATCCAATATGAATTCAACATTTCTTTCTCCTAGCCCACACAGATAAGATAGGAGGGACTTTGCAAAAAAAAAAAATGCTCTTGTTTCAATAGAAGGGAATATTTGTAGCTCGGGGTCGAACTGTGGGGTCCTTGGTGCTCCCTGAGCTTGGTTGTTTTCTTGCAGACATTTCATAACCCAACTAGGTAACATTATCAGTTCTAGAAGGGAGTGGGGTTTATGGAGAGGAGGAGGAGAAGGATGATGAATGTGGGGTCCTTAGTGCTATCTAATCTTTGTCGTTTTCTTGAAGACATTTCATGACCCAACTAAGTAACTGCTAGAAGGGAGTGGGATTTATGGAGAGGAGGAGGAGGAGGAGGAGGAGGAGGAGGAGAACTGTGGGGTCCTTAGTACTTTCTAATCTTTGTTGTTTTCTTGCAGACATTTCATGACCCAACTAAGTAATATCATCAGTGCTAGAAGGGAGTGAATTGTGCTCTCTGTTTATTTGTTTATTTGAATTTTTGAGCTCATCTGGATCTGATGCTCATTCTCAGTAGATCCAGTCAGCAGGAGAAAGGGACTGAAGGATCAATTCAGGATTATTGCAGACAACGTTGCAAAATCCTAGCTCTCCATTTTTATGGGGAGATGTATCTCATTAAGATAGACCTCCTTTTCTTCAGATGATGACATGGTTTTCAAGAATTTGGAGGCAAAATCTTCAGGGTTCATCTGTGTCCTCAGGGTCATCTCAGTAGAACAAATGGTTTCTGGAAATCTGTTCTGGAAATGACTACAGAAATCATTTGCACTACTCAGGTGACCCTGAGGGCATAAATAAATCTCCAAGTGGCCTCAATGACCCTCTAAAAGGATGCAAATGAGCAGCTGTCTGCAAGGAATATAAATCCTTCCCTTCCCCACTCTCCAGTCAGAGCTGAAGAAGCTTCTTGGATGAGAAGCGAAACATCTTCAAAGAAAAACCAGAAAGTCCAGTTGCCTCCTGAAAAAGCACCTTTGGGACAATCAGTACATGAATCATAATCATAAATTTATTTGTCAAGCATATATAAGATAACAGGTAAAAGTATGAACATAATTGGAATACATGAAAAGAGTAAGTAAAAAAGGAATGACTTGAGAATCTCCATAGAACTTTGAAGGAAAGGAAATTGTGGCCATCTTAGTGAAGATGGAGGCCAGCCCATTAACCGAGGAGAGAAAGAAGTAATTGACTCACCAAAATATAAGCCGAACACGATGCCCGCTCCGAGAAAAGCTCCAATGGTTTGCGCGAGGGCGTAAATCGGAAGTTTGATCCAAGGTTCCCGGGCCATGAAACACATCGCAAAAGTGACTGCAGGATTCAAATGACCACCTATAAAACAATATCCCATGGGTTAGACTTATGTCAAAAAGTAAAATATATGTGGTTTTTTGTTAGGTTATACCAGAAAACCAGGGGTGAAATGCTCCCGGTTTGGACCGGATCGCTCGATCCGGTAGCGATGGCTGCGGGTGGTTCGGAGAACCGGTAGCAAAAATCCCTGCCCCCCCCCCACATGCCCAGCTGAGTCGCACGATCATTAGAGGCTTTTTTTTTTTTACTTTTAAAAGCATTTTTTTCTACAACCTCTTCCGCCGAAAAAATGCTTTTAAAAGTAAAAAAAAAAGTCTCTGATGATCGTGCAGCTCAGCTGGGATCCTCAGAGGCTTTTCAAAGCATTTTTTTCTGCAACCTCTTGGCCGAAGAGGTGGTAAAAAAAATGCTTTGAAAAGTCTCTGATGATCCGAGCTGAGTTGCCTGATCGCCAGAGGCTTTTCAAAGCATTAGAAAAAATGCTTTGAAAAGTTAAAAAAAAAAAGTTGGCCACACCCACCCTAGTCACATTACCCCCCCCCCACCAAGCCACGCCCACAGAACCGGGAGTAACACATTTTACATTTCACCCCTGCAGAAAACTATAACGAAGGGAATACATATTTAATATTACATGTGTTGACAGCAGCGAGAATTGTATTTGCACAATATTGGAAGAATATTGAGAATATAATCAAAAAGATATTAGACTGTGCAGATAGATTGACACTAAAAATAAAGGACAAATCTGGGATTTGTTTTATCGGTGGTTAGAAAATAGAAGTAGAAATTAGAAGATGAAAGATTATTACTGTGTACAAGTAAATGAAGAAAGACTTATTATATACAAGTAAACAATATATTATTATTATCATTAATGTTATTATTATTAATATTAGCTTGTATAAGCAAAACGGCTCAGACAATGCTCTCTTCATTAAACACTTTGATTTTAAAAATGTATAAATAATAATAATAATAATAAAAGTAAAATATACAACGATTTATTGAACGACAGTTCAAAGTTACAACAGCCCTTAAAAATATGTGACTTATGACCATTTTTCACACTTAATGACCGTTGCGACATCCCCGTCGTCACCTGATCATAATTTGGGCAATTACTAACTGTTGTTTGCATTAATTAAGGTATGAGCTGTCTCGTTAAGACAGAGGTCTTCAAATTTGGCAGCTTTAAGACTGGTGGACTTCAACTCCCAGAATTCTCCAGCTGGAGAATTCTGGGAGTTGAAGTCCACCAGTCTTAAAGCTGCCAAGTTTGGGGACCCCTGCATTAAGACCTCATCCCTCCTTTCCTGATGAGTAGATTTACATCAGGAGTCTCCAAGGAATTTTTCACAGCTCTACACCGAGTTAATTATGTGCAGCGCATTGTTCAGGGAAAACAGGAGGAAGTTTGCATGATGACATAATCACACAAAAGTTGCAATGGGTGTTCAGGGAGTCCTCGGCTTACGACCATCGCTTAGCGACCGGTCGAAGTTACGACAAATCCGCCCCAAGTGGTACTTACGACAGCCGCCCCCACTTTTTCCCACGGTCCTGTGAATGCATTTTAGGTACTTGGCAACTGGCTCACAGCTGCCCCTCCCTTCCCCACAATCTTGTGGAATGCATTTTGGGCACTAGCAACTGGCCCACACTTGCAGGTAGTCCTCGATTTACGACCGTTTATTTAGTGACGTTCAAAATTACAACGGCACTGAGAAAAATGATTGATGACTGTTTTTCACACCTACGACCGTTGCAGCATCCCTAGGATCAAAACCGAGATACTTGGTGACCGACTCACATTTATGACGGTGGCAACGTCCCAGGGTCACATGATCCCCTTTTGCGAACTTCTGACAAGCAAAGTCAATGGGGAAGCCAGATTCACTTAACAACCGTGTTATTAACTTATCAACTGCAATGATTCACTTAACAACTGTGGCAAGAAAGGTCGTAAAACAGGACAAAACTTACTTAACAACTGTCCTGCTTAGCAATGGAAATTTTGGGCTCCGTTGTGGTCATAAGTCAAGGACTATCTGTAAAGCCACATGCAACACCCACAGTCACATAACCCTGATTTACAACATTTTTGCCAAAAACATCTTTGACTTCCGTTTTTCGGTAAAAAATGCATCAGTAGCGAGCAAGGAGTTCACTTAACGACTGTGTTCACTAAACAAGCACAGTATGCACTCTCTGGCACCCATGTTTGCTTAATGACCGTTGCCACGAAAGGTCGTAGAATTGAGTCGATCACTTGGTGAGCCGCTTTGCAATTGTCGTGACTTACGACCGTAACGGGCAGAGGCTCTGTTAAGGTCGTAATGTGAGGACTATTGAACTCACGTCAGACTCTGGCACACAAGGATGAAAGCCCAAGCCTTGGCATAACCCCTGAACCCGTGTTTTGGTGTCAGGATGGTTTGCCGTGAAAGCCGAGCTACGCCCCAATTCAGCCATCCAAGCAAAAGAGGAAACAAGGAATTTCATTTTTCCAACACCCTGAACTGGATTCGTGAATGAGCCCACTGTCTGGATGCTCTCAAGCCTCCCCTCTGCAAACACCCCACTTTCGCTGCCTGCTAAAAGGAGACGTTTGTCTGAACCCTCCCCTTGCGAGCCAGACTAAGAATGGGGTTCAAAAGGGTCAGGCATGGACGAGCAATTAATACATTGCTCATTTTTAATCATTGCATTTAAATGGGGGGCGGGGGGAATGTTTCTGCGTTGCCTGTGGAAGAAGAAGAAACAAGAAACAACGAAAAGAAAGAGGAGAGGAAGGGGAGGGGAGGGGAGAATGGTAGGGAAGGGATGGGGGAGGGGAGAGGAGAGGAGGGAAGGGAAGGGAAGGGAGGAGGGGAGGGGAGGGGAGGGGAGGGGGGGGAGGAGAAGAGAAGAGAAGAGAAGGAAGAGAAGAGAAGAGAAGAGAAGAGAAGAGAAGAGAAGAGAAGTATTGTAGGGAAGGAAGGGAAGGGAAAGGAAAGGAAAGGAAAGGAAAGGAAAGGAAAGGAAAGGAAAGGAAAAGGAAAGGAAAGGAAGAAAGGAAGGAAAGGAAAGGAAAGGAAGATAGGAGGAAGAGAAGAGAAGGGAAGGGAAGGGAAAGGAAAGGAAAGGAAAGGAAAGGAAAGGAAAGGAAAGGAAAGGAAAGGAAAGGAAAGGAAAGGAAGATAGGAGGAAGGGAAGGGAAGGGAAGGGAAGGGAAGGGAAAGGAAAGGAAAGGAAAGGAAAGGAAAGGAAAGGAAAGGAAGATGGAAGAAAGGAAGAGAAGAGAAGAGAGAGAAGAGAAGAGAAGAGAAGAGAAGAGAAGAGAAGAGAAGAGAAGAGAAGAGAAGAGAAGAGAAGAGAAGAGAAGAGAAGTATTGTAGGGAAGGGAAGGGAAAAGAAAGGAAAGGAAAGGAAGAAGGGAAGGGGAAGGAAGGGGAGGGAAAGGGAAAAAGCAAAGTCTGCATTGCTGCAGATGTCAGTCTTATGGTACATACAGTGGGGGGAGGGGGGGCCTCTATGTCTTTGAGATGAATTAAAGCCGCCATACCTGAGATTTGTCCAGCAATGAGAATTCCAAGCGTCACAGCAAACCCGAAGGCCAAGTTGACCGTCAGAAAACGGGCGTGGCTCCCTTTGCTGAGCACCAGCTGGGCCACCGAACCACAACCGAACATCTGGCAAGGAGGAAGAAGACTCGGTGAAGCATCGGAAAAGGAGACGGATGATTTTTGCGATCAATAGGAGGCGAAGTCAAGAACCCGCTTAGTAGGATTCGGATTGGACAGATCTTCTTAAAATGGATCGTCTCGTTTACAAAAAATCTTCTCCGCCCCACTGGATATGATATTTTCAAGCTGGATCATTTTGCGGTTAATTCCCTTTAATTAATTTAATTTAATTAATTTAATTGGTTAATTCCAAATATGTGCCACATACAGTCCTAGAGGTAGTCTTTTACTTATGACCAATCCCCTTACACGACTGTTGAAACTTACAACGGGCCCCTCGAACGGTACTTGTGATCTGGTTCTGAAGTTACGACGGCTGCCCCACCCCACCCACGGTCATGTGACCGCATTTCCACTGAATTACAGCTGTTGGCAGAGTCCTCTTGTCATGTGACCGCAATTTACAAAGTTTTTGCTGACAACCGGCAAAAACTCCCTGTGGCAAACGATGGGTTCGTTTAACGACCGCTGATTCACTTAACAACCGGTGTTAAAAAACGGTCATAAAATCAGGTCGCTCGCGTGGGTGACCTGCCTCACGATGGTCACTGATTTACAACTGTAATAAGCAGGCTCCTTTATGGTCATAAACTGAGGATTACCTGAAGTTGAAAAACAATGTAATAACAGTTGAAGTTTTGTTCCCAGATCAGGGGACTGTATATTCCTTGCTGAAGAATATCATTACATGGTGCAAATATCTGATATTTATATTAAAGCAAGCAGTAGTACGTATGCAGAGAGTCCTCGATTTACAACAGTTCATTTAGTGACCATTCAAAGATACAACAGCCCTGAAAAAGCGACTTATGACCGTTTTTCACAGTTACGATATTTCCAGCATCCCCATGGTCACGTGATCAACATTCCTGACACTTGGCAACTGTCTCATATTTATGACGGTTGCCCGGGGTCACATAATCTCCTTTTGCGACCTTCTGACGAGTCAAGTCAATGCGTAAACCGGATTCACTTAACAACCGTTTTACTAATTTGACAGCCGCAGTGATTCACTTAACAACGGTGTCAAGAAATGTCGTACAATGGGGCAAAATTCACTGAACCAATGTCTCGCTCAGCAACATAAATATTGGGCTCCATTGTGGTCGTAAGTCGAGGACGACCCGCCTAGCATTTACGGAGAGTTTCTAAGTAACCAAGAAACCAGGAGAAAAAAAAAAGTTTCCATTTTAGTTCAGGTTCTTATGCAATCAAATCTTGTTTGCTCTCAGATTACTTTCTTCCTCCTTCCTCTGACAAGCTGATTAAATTTCACTCCTTAGCAGAGGATTAAAAAAAAATAGTTGCTTGTCCTTGAGCTTTAAACAAAACTCGGACTTTGAATCGTATTCCTTGCCACTTTTATGTCAGACAATCCTATTCTCTTTCAAAGAAGGGCTTTCTTGCACAGGGGCGTGGACAGGATAAGATTTCTCGTGGGCAACCTTCCGTAAGTTTGGCTTCGGCCCGAAAACTGCCAACGGAGTTGAGTTATTCAAAACTCCCGTCGTGTTTGGGGATGCCAGAAACAATGGCTGTAATCTGAGAAAGGCTGAAGAAGAATGGCCTGCAAAATTGAGCAATAAATCAACCGCGGGTCCGAATTTGAGATCTGGGACTGAAATAGAAGAGAACTGAATAACAAGAGTTGGAAGGGACCTTGGAGGTCTTCTAGTCCAACCCCCTGCTTAGGCAGGAAACCCTACACCACTTCAGACGAATGGCTGAAATGAGTGATTTCAAGTGATTGTGCAATCTCTTCTTTAAAATCTCCACTGTTGGAGCACAACACAATTCCTGGTGGCAAGCAGTTCCACAGGTTAATTGTCCTCACTGTCAGAAAATCTCTCCTTAATTCTAAGTTGCTTCTCTCCCTGATTAGTTCCCATCCGTCGCTTCTTGTCCTGCCTTCAGGTGCTTTGGAGAATAGCTTGATTCCCTCTTCTTTGTGGCAACCCCTGAGATATTGGAAGACTGCTATCATGTTTCCTCAATCCTTCTCTTCGTTAGTCTTGACGTACCCAATTCCTGCAACCGTTCTTCATATATTTTAGCCTCCAGTCCCCTCATCATCTTAGTTGCTCTTCTCTGCACTTTTTTTCCAAAGTCTCGACATCTTCCTTATAATCTGGAAACCAAAACTGGATGCCAGGTGTGATCTTACTAAGGTTCCTGGCCCATAATTCATTTCTCCCTACCCTAATTAATTCACTGCTTTCCTCTTGATTTCCTGCTTTGCAAAATACACATCAATGCAGGGGTGAAATCCTCCCGGTTCGGACCGGATCGCCCGATCCGGTAGCTATGGAGGCGGGTGGTTCGGAGAACCGGTAGCAAAAATCCCTGCCCCACCCCATGCCCAGCTGAGCCGCGCAATGATCAGAGGCTTTTTTTTTTTACTTTTAAAAGCATTTTTTCTACAACCTCTCCGGCCGAAAAAATGCTTTTAAAAGTTAAAAAAAAAAAAAGCCTCTGATCATTGCGCGGCTCAGCTTGGATCGTCAAAAGCTTTTAAAAGAAAAAAAGCCTCTGGCAATCAGGCAACTCAGCTTGGATCGTCAGAGGCATTTAAAAGAAAAAAACCCTTTCTCTGTGGTCATGTGGCCGGCATGACTCAATGCCAAAGGCGCACAGAACGCTGTTTCCTTCCCACGAAAGGTGGTCCCTATTTTTTCTACTTGCATTTTTTACTATACTTGGCAGAAGCTGGGACAAGTAACGGGAGCTCAACCCGTTACGCGGCACTAGGGATTCGAACCGCTGAACTGCCAACCTTTCGATTGACACGCTCAGCATCTTAGCCACTGAGCCACCGCATCCCGTGTCCCTCAATATAGTATAATGTTTGTAAAACAGTTCTAGAAAAGGGAGATTCAAAGTCAAGATCCCAGCAGATCCTTCAAGGCTTTGGCCCAGGGGTGTCCAACCTTGGCAACTTTTTAAGACTTGTGGATTTCAACTCCAGATTTCAACCTGTGGAGTTGGAAGTCCACAGGTCTTAAAGTGGCCAAGGTTGGACAATCCTGCTGTAGCCCAACCCACTCTGGATTCTCCAGCATGTTCTCCACCCATCAGGTCTCGCTGCTCTTGTTCTGCAGGCTCCAAAACGAAGCAAAATCAAAACCGGAGTTTGCTAAGCCAAGTGACAAAGCCAACTTTAGGTCCCACCCTCGTCCTGATCCAGGTTGAACTCTTCCTGGTGACACCGCCCTTCCCAAAAACTAAGAATAATAAGGCGCAAGGAAAGAGGGGAGCATGTATCCACACGAACCCTGGGAACTCTGCTTGTAACACCGCCATTAAATCATCTTTTTTTTTTCCATCTCCCCTTCCAACAGTTGCCCCACCTTGCCTAGGGGATGCAGTGGGGAACACAAACAAAACACCTGCAGAATTCAGCTTGTGTTCCCTGCCTTGGGAATAGATTGTAAATGCCAAAGTATCCCGGTTGGGTTCCTCCCAAAATTAATCTTCTAGTATTCCAGCTCTCCCAAATTCATTAAAACTATTAATAGATTTCAACTCCACTGTTCCAAGAGGCGGAGCGGGGAGGGGTCCTTTTCAAGTCTAGCATCGGGCGCTCGCCAAAAATTTCTGCTTTTTCTTTTTCCCCTCTCCAAGCTTTCAAGAGTTTCTTTTGTTCTCCTAGGGACGCGATAGGGATCTTCCCGTGTGCAGCTTCGTTAATTAAACTTGGCACCAGGGAAATCTTTCTAGAGACAGGATAATTGTGCCAGGGTTGGGCAAGAAAGCAGGCGTTCTCTAGGGGTTTTGCAGTGTTGTGTTTTCCAACACAACACCACACATACAGGCTCCGAAAAGAAGCTTGGTTTGTGTCAAATAAGCACAATGAGGACTTGAAATCTGATTTTGCAAAAAAAAAAAAAAATGTGCAAACTTAGAGGAACATTAACTCCTAACTTGGTATTTCTTAACCGTAGCATTTTTAAACTGCGTGGACTTTGACTCCCAGCTGGCTGGGGAATTCTGGGAGTTGAAGTCCACACAACTTAAAAGTGCTTGAGAAACATTGCCCTAACGGATTCAACATAGCTTCCTTTCTGAGTAGACTCAGAAGCAACGTCAGGCTGCAATCCTGTTTGAAGTCTCTTTCCAAACAGATCTATCCGCGTAGATCCATCCAATTAATATTTTTATAGTCTACGTGTCACAAAGACAAACAGGTTGCCCCAACTCATTGCAAAACTTTTTCAATTAAATTGTGTTTTTCATGGATCAATTGATTCAATCAATCAACCAGTTGATTAAAATCTCGAGACTAATCCTCCCCCAATTGATTAACTCTTTTAAAACCTTCTTGGGCTCAAACCAACGTTATTGCTGTTGACAGAAACGCTCGAGGCCTGTTGAAATCTCGGCTGAGATTTCCTTTATTTTTGCATTTTAAATTCCCTGTCTTTGCTTGTTGCAATTCCCACTTCTTGTTCTTTTATACATGCAGGTCAGGTCATCCTTGACTTATGACCACAACTGAGCCCAGAATTGATGTCGCCAAGCAAGAAATTTGGTAATTTCTCGTTTTACGAACTTTTCTTGCTACGTTTGTTAAGCCAGTCAAGGCAATTGTTAAATGAGGACTTTTTTCAGTGTTGTCGTAATTTTGAATTGTCACTAAATGAACTGTTGTAAGTCTGTTGTTCATTCGTTCAATTGGGGGGGGGGCTTCTGCCCATTACAATTGAGAGGTTGAATTTTTTTTTAGACTACTTTAAGATGTATGGAGTTCAACTCCCAGAATTCCTCAGCTAATTCTGGTAACTAAAATTCATATATCTTAAAGTTGCTGAGATTAAAAATCTCTGTTTTAGACTCTTCTCCAAAAAGATCCCCTATTCTTCCTTTCAGCTATTCAGATTTGGACAAATATAAACTCTTTGCTCTTCCAATGTCCATTTTTTTTAAAAAAAAATCTATTTATCCTTCCT